CTCTTTTCAGTCACCTACGTATTCTCAATATATATGACCAATATAAGTATCAGCTATGTACATTTATACATGACCTACAATTTCACAGATTGCCACGTGACCTTAATTACTATTTCAATTTCCATACTCACCATTATCACACTAGGTCAAGGGATAATTCAAACTTTCTTCTACCAATGAAAAAGACAAATTTGGGTCAGTTTTCAGTCGATTACCAGGGAACTAAAATTTGGAACAGCTTACCCCTGGATATCCAATTGATTCGTATTCGAGCAAATTTTAAAAAAGAAGTGAAAGACTATTTAATCCAATGTAATCATCCATAGTTATATTCCAATATGTATATATAGAGGCATACAAACATGTATCGGTGTGTAAGCAAACCATTGTAAATAAGTTTGTTCTGTCTACTTGATTGCCCTTTTTAATAAATAGCTATTTACAAATATATTTTGATGGGAAATAGACTAGACTAGCTCTGCATGAGCTAATTTCTGTTTCCCAGCCATAGATTAATATTATTATTATTTATCAATATTTATTAGTTATTATTTATTGCTGTATTGTTATTTTTTTTATGTAATCTATGGCAAATAAACATTATTATTATTATTATTATTATTATTATTATTATTATTATTATTATTATTATTATTATTATTATTATTCATTATATAATTTGCTACACAAGATTTATTTTACGCGTGCATTGCGATATGCTACTGGGTATAGCTTGGGAGTTCACATAATCCCAGCTGTACCTGGCTTATCATTTGGATGCTTATTTCAGATAAAACATACTTTCTCTTTTGCTTGCTAACGTGGTTATAGTAACTTTATACGTCAACTGATGACCCTTGTGCGGGTTATAAATTGGCCTTGGATAACAGTATAAAAGAAACGGCGAACAACTTGAACAGCATACGATGTAATAAAAAAACAAAAGCACACACTAGCATGGGCGTTGGTGGTGTCAAAACACAATTTGGGTTAGTGACATCGGATATCGCGTCCCTGGTCGCTGTTTGCGCAACTATGATTTCACTTGTTCTACATGTATAAAGTAAATCACAACTTTGATTGTATTATATGAATGATAAAATATATGTTGAACAAATGTTGTCCAGATATTAGTGCTAATTCGAATTTTTATTGGTTTTGATGTGAATGAACCGCGCTTGGTAAAACCCGCAATCTGACAACCTGGATGTTTAAATACTAATTGTGTTTGATAAATTTTGATAAAACAGTAGGATACAATATATCGTTAAATAAAAACGATGTTTTGGTAATGAATATTGATTGGTATTCAATTCATTTAGCGAATTTATAAAAACAACAGTTCACTTCCTTCTAACGTTACATTAATACTGCTACCTTTGTTGCCAAGACCGTGAATCCTTTTAATTTTTCAAAATTCAGACTTGCTCTTTGGAATACTCAAACGAAATGTATTGATTGTTTTACGTGGTTAGACAATGTGCATACGCATCCAAATTGTTAAAAGTTGTTACAAATGAATGTTGAATAATAATAATGTTCCAAGGCGCTAAAGTCACACCACACTGTACGCTTTACAAAACATATAAGTTTTTAACTCAATGAATGTTTAAGTTCAATGGAAAGTGAATTTCAGAGTTGAGCAGCATTGGAAAAATCATGACCGCCGTACGTAATTTGCCTGTATTTTGTTTGTTAATAGGATTTTCAGACTTGTAGGCTGAATAAATATAAATATTTATTTTAAGAAGATTTACTGATGTAGTTAGGGACAGGATGGGAACAAGTACATGTATGTAGGTTAACAGCAGCATTTTGTAGTGCAACAAATTCTGCCTCGCGCTGGTAGACTGGCGAACGCTTTGAAGAACTGGTGATATGTGATTAGGTTTTCAGGAATCATTGAGGATTCTTGCGGCAGTATTTTGAGTGCGCTGATGATTTACGATGTTGCCAGGGAACCCGCATAATAGTGAAAGTTTAGCTGACAAATCGTCATGAATTAAAATTTGGCAGACGATATTTTCTCATATGTCCGGCGAAGGTGGAAGTATATACTAGAATATTTGGTTGTGTCCTTGTTATGGCTTGTAAACATGGGAGTATTGTCGGAGACCACTCTTAGATTTCGATGATGATTTGCGCAATTAGATCGGTTGAGTGGTCAAACTTGGAACAAATCAGGAGCCCTCCTCTTTTTCCGTTTATAGATGCATGGTGTTGATGCGTTTGCAGGATTATGGCATAGAGGGCGATATAACACACCTATATTCGGTTAAACTCGGCAATCTCCGTACATAGGCCACGTCATTCTAGCAACGTTGGCTGGGTATGACTTCACCTTCCTAAAATAGCTTCTTGACTCAGTTACGCTGGTAATCTTCGAAGTGCATGCTCCGAGTTGTCGCTTGGATTATCGTAGGGGTATTATAGTCAGCGGTCTGGGTGTCTACGCCAAAAAGAACTGCCGAAATTAGCAACATTCGCTGTAAGGTGAAAGGGTGTAGTTTTTCCACCCATACTGTCCATAAACAGTACTGTAGTGGTCGGGGTCATTGACAGGTGATCCGTTCTTGGATCCCACTATCGTTTCGCCATCTTTCCGAAACTGTTGTTGACAAAATAATGGCGGTTGACATAGAAAACGCAGACGTTTTAGATATGCTGTTCGATGGAGATGGCATTCTTCTCGACGATGCCTTTATAGGGCGGTCAGTAAACACTACTAACCAAGCTGTCACCAACTTTAACAGCGATAATATGCAGGAAGTCACAGAGATTGGAAAAGTAAGTAAACACTTCCAGTTTTGTCACGGATTGACGTGTCACTATTATTTTGTTCTTGGACGAAGTTCTTGATCTAGTTATGTTTCCCTAAAAAAATAAACCCCACCCTATCACCCCACCCCTAGGGCCCTTTTCTGGAAAAAAATACTTTGTAGTATTCCACTCGTTTTAGCGATGACTACCCAAAAGACCAAATGTAAATATTGCACTTTCTTTCAAAGTTTCCCATCCAGGGCTTGTCACGTGAAACCCGGATCAAGAAGATGGAGGTGTCCTGTGTCCACACGTTTTTGAATCAAAATCATGATGTTCTGATAGTGGTTTTTAAATTCGAATTTAAACTGTTCACTTTCTGAGAACTAAACAAAGACAGTTAATCTGTTCATTACATTTTTTTTGTCGCAGGCCAAAGATACTCATGACTTATTTTCATCACTTCTTCAAATGGAGGACCAAGACGTTATGTTATCTGGACCTCCTACCCCTAGTCCCCAGTACTGTGTTGCATCACCGTTGAATAGTGACAGTGGAATATCCGATGACAATCCAGGTACCTCGGAATGTAGTCCATTATCCATGGAGAATATTGAAATGATTTCCCACTACGACACGGATCAAACATCAGCAATACTTATAACCAGAGAAGAAGATATGGTAACCACAACAGCTTTGCCAGAAGATAATTTCAGTTTTGCAGGTAAATTCGGTAGTATCTGTACCTTACTGTTTTAAAACAGAAAGTAGGTAGATTCCAATCCGCCATTGCATGACAGTATTCACCGGATGCATGAGCTACTGATTTCAGTCCATGGCTCAATTTACTTCATATTTGAAAAACTTCTAATAATTTTTGCAGATGATTATAATCATATAATTTTTACCTTGCCCGTACCATCAAAGATGGAAGGGAAAGGTATATTAAGGGCAAAATTTTGTCTGGCGTTGGCGTTGTTGTCGTTGTCGTCGTCGTTAATAATTCCAAACTTCATCAAACTTGGTCACCTTATTCATTAGTATAAAGTCTTCCCTGAGTTTGAACAACAGATGTCCTGTATGAAAATATCATGCAAAAATTGAGAAAATCTGATAAAATATTTTGACTGTTTCTACTTGACTGATCACTGGTGATACACATCAAAGGTCACTGATCTCAGTGGAAATATGCATTGTTGTATGTGTTCAATGAAGCAAATGATTTATCTTGTAATAATATCCTTGGTAATGTATCTCAGAATCCTATACTGGGTTTCAAAACCAACTCATGGAGAGATTGCACAGTCTGATACACATTTGCAAACCTACCAATAAAATCTTTACAGAAAACAATATGTCAGAAAATCAATATAAGCACTGCTATGAACT